GGACCTAAATTCTGACAGCATGGTATGAGAATTCTGTTTCACAAATGGAAATGTCTAAAAGCTTCCTACTGAAAGTGTGATCCTTGGCCATATGCATCACCTAGGTCTTATAAAGGATTTGTTCTGTAAAATTTGGGTTCAGTACAAGGTCTTCACTCAAGGATCCAGAAGGCCACATGGCTGCAGGTTCTGCACCCCTGATGGGAGCTTGTTACAAAGGCAGACCCCAGTCCTCCCCTTTCATACCTATTGAATCAGAGCCTAAATTTAGACTAGAAGCCCCAGTTAACTCATGTACATGTACAGTGTGAAGGTGGTAGCAGGGTGCAAAGTACATTCACCTTTGATGTGGAAAAAAGATAAACCAAACAAGTATGAAGGATTTGTTTCATCTGAAATAAGTGTAAAAATTATATGAAGTTTGTGAGAAATTAAACCCTATTTAAAATGAGCAAAAGATGAACTGAAACTTTTCAAAAGAAGACTAATAGCCAGTAAACATGAAAAAATGCTCAATATCACTAATTATCAGAGAAATCCAAGTTAAAACCACAATGAGTTATCATCTAATCCCATTTAGAATGGCTTTTATCAAAAAGTCCCCAAACATTAGATGCCGGCTTAGATGTAGAGAGAAAGGAACACTTACACACCGTTGGTGGGACTGCCAACTAGTACAACCTCGGAAAATAGTATGAGGATTCCTCAGGAACTAAAAGTAGATCCAGCAATTCCATTATGGTGTTTGGACCCAAAGGAAAAACAGTCATTTTATCAAAAAGACACTTGTGCTAGAATTGCAGAACAATTTATAATCACAAAGATGTGGAATCAACCCTAGTTCTCATCAATTCATGAGTGGATTAATAAAAAATGTGGTATATGTATACCACGGAGAACTACTTAGCCATAAAAAATTGAGTTAATACCTTTTGCAACAATCTGGATGGAACTGGAGACCATTCTTCTAAGTATCACAAGAATGAAAAACAGACACCACACGTACTCACTATTAAATTGGAACTACCAGATCACCACTCATGTGCACAGATGGAAGTGAAACTCGCAGGTGGGGTGGGGGCGGGGCAATGGGTGAAATCATACCTAACAGGTATAATGTACACAGTGTGATGGGCACAGTTTGACTCAGGCAGTACAGTAGCAATCCATGTAACCAAAACATTTATACCCAGTAATACTCTGAAATTTTAAAAAATGCTACATACCACAAAATTAACAAAAAAAGAAATATTGGAAAGAAGGTAAAAATTTTCTCAGAAAACACAAACTATATGCACGAAATATTCCTGTAATGCACAGTATGTGGGAAAATTAAACCTGGAAAGCATAGTGATGCATCTGACATGGGGTGACGGTAGACAGAAAGCCAGAAGTTAATCAGTAACAGATCACAGTGGTCACTGCTTTCATTGGCTGCTTGATTCCTTAGAGATTTCTTTAAAAGCAGGGCTTGGTTAGGGCTTGTGTATCTTTCATGCAGTCAGTGACCTGTTTGCTAGAAAGATAAAGATATACCAGAGAGGGTTTGAGATGGGCTAGAAGATTGATTGTGGCATAGGGAGAACTGATTTATGAGGAGAGAGAAAAATAATTAAATGGGCAGCACTATGCTATAAAAAGAGGCTATGGAGACACAGATATTTATCTAATGTTTCCCCAGTGCTGTCTCCTGTACTATCTGTGTGAGGATGCAGAACTGTAGGGGTGTAAGGATGCCAAGAAATTGGTTACTGAGCAAAGCAGTAGCAGCTGGAATTACTTGATTAAATCAGGAGCAATATCAAAGATTAAGTTTCAGAAAATTTCACCTGCTACATAAGAAATGACCTTGAGTAAGATGATTTGAACCCTGAGAACTTTTGAAAGCTCTATGGGCTAAAAATGGAAAATCATTTATCAAGCTGTTGTATTGTCTCCCCCCGCCCCAAATAATTGGAACCCATCTCTTGAAACTTCTCAAATAAGGATGGAGAAAATTTAGGCTGCTACATGTGGGAGCTCTCCCCACTTCCAGCAGAGGCTAGATAGGTGATGACAAGTGACATTTTTCTTTTACAATATCTTTGATGATTGCTGATGTTACCATACATGGGTAATTCCCCCCCCTCCTTACATTGGTATCTTATTTAAACAGAAAATACACCATCCAGAAAAGCATCTAGAGCAGAAGTTCTCAACCTTCCTAATGCCGCAATGTATTTTTATTGTTAAAAAGGGTCGCAACCCGTAGGCTGAGAACCGCTGATGTGGAGAGTGCCACTTCTCTGTCCTCCAGTGTCGTCTTCCTTGGCATCTAGTGACAATCTTTTTCATTTCTCATCTCTCTATAATTCATGAAGAGATGAAATTTATAACATCCAAGAAGTGAATTCCCTTCCTTCCTTCACTTCATTCAGGAAGCTAAAAAGACAAGCCCAAAGCACGCCTGGCCTTTTTGGAAGCATTTGTCAAATGGATGCAGAAACTTTGAAATCATTTAATGCCTCAGAGAGCTTAGTGATTCTTTCCACCAGGATGAAAACTCAGCTTGTGTTTGCCGAGGAGCCATGGTCTGAGAACACCCCTTTCCCTTCCCTCAGTAGAGTTTCTTCTTCCCAGTAATATGCTTTATCTGAACAGGAAGCTGAGAACCCCAAGCCAGGGGTCAGAGAGTAAATAAAACTCAACTAATAATATTCTGATTCATGGCTTTTTTTCCTGCTAGTTTCTTCAGAGTCACATTGATAGGAGGTCTAGTTTTTAATGTAGGTGCTGATGAGAATAATTCATGTTAAATATATTGACTGGAGATGCTGGATATATTTCTTTATGCTGATTTGTAGGAAGGTTTGTCAAACTTAATATTAAGTCATATAAAGTAAATTACTTCAGGTGCACCACAAATGGACTGGGGTTTTAATGTTATTTTAATTTTATTATTTATGACGATGTACTTGCTTTAGTTTTAAGATCTGTTTGCCCGTAGCCAAAAGGTTTACCCTTTCCTTCTTGAAAGAGATCTGGAAAGTGAGATAAAAAGGTTAGGATTATATTCTGCTAGTGTGTCCATAATGTAATCTCCTCTATATCCTATTTTTGTGACAATGATTCTAAGATAATGACCAGTGTGCCATGAAAATTTTTAAAGATAATTAATTAAAATTTTTTTT